GGGGGGGGTCGTCAAATCCAAGAAGTGTTACATTGTGCTTTGCTGGGAGAAAGAACTAGTTTCAAATTGGCACATAATAACTGTACTTATTGGGGCTGCAGAGATGGCTCAGTGTTCTCCAGAGGATCTGTTTCGATTTCCAGCCCTTGTGGTGGTTCCCTTCCTTCTAGAACTCCAGTTCCAGGTATCCAATACCCTCTCCTGGCCTCTGTGGGCACCAGGAATGCAAGTGGCACGCAGACATACAAGTAGGCAAAACATGCATATACATAAAACAAAACTATTTTTGAAATTGTATTTATTTATGGGACACAGTGCAGCTCTTTGAAAAGTGTACTTATTACACAATGATCAAATTAGGGTAATTAGCATGTCTATCACCTCAAATTTTCAACCATGTATTTGTCAATGAACCATTCAAAACTCTTCTAGTTATTCTCAAATGCACAGGGTAATTTTAAACTAGCCAGTCACTGCGTAACAAGACATCAGACCTTGCTTTTCTCCACTGAGTTTATATCTACTCACTAATCCTTTCTCTTCCCCCTCCTCTCTATTCTTTCCCCTGGATTTATTAATGCTTTGGATTCATTGGGCTGGTAAGAATTTTTAGCAGGGTTTTCAGATACCAAGAAACTTGCTGATATATATGTATTTTTTTTTTCCCCCGGAGAATTTGTTGTTGTTGCTTGGTTTTTTGAGACAGGGTTTCTCTATGTAGCCTCCTGGGACTCATTTTGTAGACCAGGCTGGCCTCAAACTCACAGAGCTCCACCTGCCTCTGCTTCCCTGAGTGCTAGGATTACAGGCGTGCACCGCCACATGGGGTTTTTAATGGAGAATTTGTAAGCAAGCTACTATTAACATCCACAGTGTCAAAATGGTAACTTTTAAGCAACACGTTGGAAGTAAGCAGCGGATGACTACTTATCCGCTACCAGGCAAGGAGATTCGCCGCCTTTGTTTTCTTCGAGGCAGGGTTTCTGGAACTCAGTCTCCACAACCAGACTGGCCTCGAGCTCAGAGACCCGCCCGCCTCTGCCTCACTTCCTACTGGGATTAACAGCGTGCGCCACCGCCGCCCGCGAGATGTCTCCTGATCCTCATTTCACTACATTCACCCAACACCCTGGGCTCTTTAGCACTGCAGACACTCTTCCTTCCTGATCAGGGCACATTACAGAATTGGAAAGTTAACGAGGAACGATTTACAGCGCCCATCCCCTCCCACTCTGTATCAAAATGACATTTAAAAAATCAAAGCGCAAACTCTACCAAATTCTGACTGAGACGCGGATGCTCAAAACATTGTCCACTCAAGGGCGGATTGACGAGCGACTTCACTAAGCATTCCAAACAGAGGGACACCGGGGCCATCCGTCTTTCTACACAGAACTCGTACTCACTCAACCCTCCTTCCCGAGACCACAAGTTTTAAATTTTAAAGGTTGGATCAGATTTTTAGGACGGAATAACTCGACACGCAAGCGCTAAAACTACACGCGGCAGTCAGTTAAGGGCGGCCAAGCGCACCAGGGTTGTGGACCAAGGTCGCTCATCTTAGCAAGGAAATCTGGGTAGACCCCCGGGGTTGCAATAAATAAATAAATAAGACAGAGGAGGCGAGCCGGAGGCTGAGTCACACGTGACCCGTTCACGCTCGCTGGCCTCTCGGTTACCCGGTGCCATCTGGCAAGGGATCTGCTAACGTGGGGCAGCCGGCCAGGCTCTCGGCGGGAAGGACGCGTGCGGAGTCAGTCCCCGGTGCCCCACGTTGCGACCTGTGCCGGACGGGGGGCGGGGGGGGGGTGTCCGGCCCTGGGTTCTCACCTCCTGGTCCTCGTTGGCACCCATCGCGCCGGTTGCACGGCGATCGCGACCGCAAAGAACGGGAGGGCAGCGGGCGGGAGGCCGGGGCACCCCGTTTCCGCGCCTCGGTCTGGGGGAACCCTCCTCGCAGCCGTGGGGACGAGCTCGCGCGCTGCCGAGCCACCGGGCAGTCGGCTGCGGGCCGGGAACCTGGGATCGCCTTAAGCGGGGGACACCCAGACCTCGGACCAGCCGCGGAGGGGGCGGTAACGAGGAGGCTCCGCCCCCTCGCACGACCGCTTCTCCTATTGGCTCCTTCTTGCTCCGCCCCAATCCCTTTCTCCTCTAGGAAATGGAGCACCTGCCTAAGGGGGCGGTCCGTTCTGTCCCGGGACTGGCGTGGAGAACTGTCACTCAGGCCCAGGAAGTGCTTCCTGTGCCAGCGGAGGCGGGGAAAAGGAAGTCTAGCCTTCTGCAGCCGGCGCTGGGGCTTGGGCTGTCGGGACTCGGTGGCCGCGTTCCGTGACGCCCCTGCCTGGCTCTCCCGGTTCTCTCCGGGCTGACGGCGACTCGCCGCAGCCGCAGCGGGTCCAGGGCGAGTGGCCTGGGTGAGTTGGGCCCAGAAACCTTCCGGGCCACGCCAACCCAGCTGGCTTGGGGAGGCCTGCATTTTCCCGTGGCGTCCACGGGTGCAATGTTGGCATTTCTCCTTCAGCTGCAAAGAAGAAAGTACTTATTTTTAGGTAGAGAGGTGGGAGTGATCGAGGAAGATTGCGTCAGTTTCTAGGACTGTGAGGTTATTGTCCTTTCCCAGTCCCAGCTATCAGAGCCGAATGCTGCGATCCTGGGGACAGTGTCTTCTTCCAGGCTGTGTTGGCTTCCTTTTCTCCACCAAGCTATCGTTCTTCGTTTGATTTTTTTGCAGTTAGACGTCTCTGAATCCGTGCTTGCTAGCCGATGTCTTGCAACTTGGAACACCCCTTTATTGATAGCCGTCTTCTTTAGTAGATATTTTGGTTGGGTTAGCTTGTTTCTCTTCTACGCTGGCTGTCCCATTACTTGCCTTGCACTAGCCAGGTGACTGGTGCTGAGGACTTAGATTTGCTTCTGCATGTCCCCTCTTTCTCAGTAGTTTGCTTGGCTTCTCCATTATTTTCCGGGAAATCAGGAAACGATTTCTTTTCCTGCATGTCATTGAAATCTACTCAGTGAGCACTTGTCCTCTGAAATGTACAGCATAAGCAGGACCATCACCAAGTGCCAAACCTTGTAAAGTAGAATACGGCAGGGATTGCTGATGCAGTTTTTCATGGTGATGTTGGAAGAGATTTGCTCTGATCAAGAGCTACCCTGTCAGGTGTGGTAGCCAGCAGCAACCGGCGGCTCTAGAGCACTTGAAATCGGCCAGTCTGAATTTAGGTCAGCTGTGAGTGTAAAATACACACCGTTTGAAGACAGTACACAAACAGGTTTTTGAACGTTCATCAATAACTTATAATGATGTTTGGAGAATACTTTTGGCCTAAATAAAATATAACTAAAATTACACATCTTTTTCTTTTTGGGGGTCCTTCATAGCCCTTGCTGGGCTGGAACTGCCCTGTAGACTATGGAATTTGAAGCAATCCTCCTGCCTTTGCCTCTTGAGTGCTGGCTTTATAGGAGTTTGGTTTCTGAGCCCACTTCTCTGTTACCTTCTAATGTAACTGCTGGAAATCTTAACAATACTTAGGTGACTCGTACTGTATTACCCTCAGGCAGTACTAAATTAAAAAGTTTGTAAGTCATTTCTACTTCCCTTTGTGTCCACTCCATGTTCAAGGATCACAGGCGTTTCTTTTGAGCCTCTGAAACTGTTAAGGGAGATGGGCCTTTCACACTCTTGTCTAGAGCATTTTGGTATTAGGCAAATATAGTAGCCATATTATCTTTGGCCACTCCTAGGCTATTTTGCTCCTCATCTGAAAATCCGCAGAAGCAATGTTTTTCTTTGCCCTCCTAGCACAACCCTTCCCAAAGGTCTTTTAAAGCAGTTCTGCAAACTTAAGGTATAGATAGTGCATCATTTCCGGTAAGCTTTCCAAATCATTCTTTAATACCCATTGTTCCTTTAGCACTTGAGCATGAGATAGCTAATTAGTAAAGATGATTATCTTTTCAGTTAGAGATAGTCCACATCTTAGGGAACAAGTGGCGTTTTACATTTCAGTTTCCTCACCTTGTGTTCTGTGTGTGTCTGTGATGATGACAATCTCTTCTTTAAAGAAGCATGTGGTAGTTAAGTCCTTTCAGAAACGAGGAACCGTTTAAAAAATATGGTGACAGTTCTGTTTGGAATAAACACATTTTTATATAAGCACTTTCTAAAGTCAGTGCAGACCTGCCTTCATTGTAGATTTAGCTAAAGGACACAACAGAAATGGGTCTTACACTTTTCTCTAAGAGAAACACTGTTTCCGTTTACCTATTACATCGTCTTATATTATGGAAAGCAAGAAAACAACTGCTAAATAATGTACACATTATTTGAGTTATATTCTAAGCATTGAGAAATTAGATATCTGGAATTTCAGAGAAATCAGAGGAAACTGGATTTGTTAATATATGTAAGTCGGTGAACACTGGGATTACAGCATGTGCCACCATGCAAGGATAGAGCTATTTTAATTTCATCACTTACCTGCTTTCTTAGTCTGCTCAAGACTAAGAGTTTGATGTACATTTTGAAATATTACTGAAAATAGTGAATTTGTCTGAAAATTGACTACAGCCTTTTTTGTAAAAAAAAAAAAAAAGCCAATACAATTAGTCATTTTTGTTTGTTTTTTTGTTATATGAGACAGTTTCTCTGTGTTGCCTTTGCTGTCCGGGAACTCTCTGTGTAGACCAGGCTGGCCTTGAACTCACAGAGATTCACCTCTCTCTGCTTCCTGAGTGCTGGGATTAAAGGTGTGCACCACCACTGCCTGTAAAATTAATTAATTTTACTAACTCAGGAATTACAGTTTTCATTTTGCTCTATTCTGTTCTGTTTGCTTGACTGTGTACATGCGGAGCCTTTTGTCTTGTCAAAAGGCTATGCTATGATATCTCAGGAAAGGCCTCTCCAGATATTAGCACCATTTTCTTGGACTTCTCAGCCCTTATAACTATGAAGTAAACAAAGTTCTGTTTGTTATAAATTAATCTGTTGGATTCAGTTATAGAAACAGAAAAGTGGACTAAGCTAATGATAAAAATAGACAGCATTGATACAGCAGGGAAGCACAGTTGATCTGGAAGCCTGTGAAGATCAGCAATGTTGGAGATCTCTGTGTCCTGGAAGAATCAGGAGTTGATGCCCAAAGGGAACCTGGCACTGTCTGTACTGTGCTGAATAGGACTCCTTACTGGGACATCCTGAGCTCATGAAGGGGCTAAGTTCTCTTTGTTTATATATTAGATATTGGTGTTTGTTTTTAAAACTAATTATGACTCTCCTGATCTTTCTATTTCAGATCTTTCTGTGACGTCCTAAGCATGAGCCCCACACAGTGGGACTTCCCTGTGGAGTTATGTTGCCGGCCTATGGCTTTTGTTACACTCACTGGCCTTGATGTGGTTTATAATGCTGTCCACCGAGCAGTCTGGGATGCTTTCTGTGCCAATCGGAGAGCTGATCGGGTACCAATTTCTTTCAAGGTGCTCCCGGGTGACCATGAATACCCCAAATGTCGGTCAAAGGTAATGGCATTAGGATCACATGCATTCATAGCTCCCATCCTCTTCACACTCCCAACTCTCTTCTTAATGTTTGTATTGGAAACCCTCTGAGTTTATCAGGGCAAAGGTTACTGTTGTGCCGTAGGAAAAACTGGTGTTGTCATGTACTATGGAATATATGCACATATTTAATACACTTTTTTTTTAACCTCAAGAGGACCGACTAATTATAATGCTTTCCTTACTATGAGCCTACATTTTTTTTCTTTTTAAAAAAATTAATTTACTGTGTGTGTATGTGTGGAGGTCCCGTGACAACTTGTATTGTCAGTTCTCTTCTTCCAACATGTGGGTCCTGAGGACTGAACTTAGGTAGTCCTAGGCTTTGCAGAAAGTGTTCTTCCCATCTTCTCCCTACCCCTTTTCTTTCATTAAAACAATCCCCACATCTCCATAATTTTAGCAGAGTCTTCTTGAAAGGAAGGTCTCACATCACCCACTCATCATTTCCAGTTTCATATAGAATCCATGACCCTTGCAGTTAGGTCCAGTTTCACAAGTTCCTAAACCATTTTCATTTTATCCACAGGAACAGTGAAATGCTGTCATGGCACTATGTAAACAAATGAAGCCGTAGTAGATTTTAGGTGGTTTTAACACTTTACGAGAACAGAAATGGGAATTGGTGAAGGATCCAAGTAGACCTGGAAAGGGGCTGCCTACTTTACACTAGCTGAGGCCCTTGGCGCTGCTAGGACTCCTGTGCTCTGGCCATTCTCCCTCACGCGGGAAGTACAGCATCTGTGGAGTGTACCCCAACCCTTAAACCCTTACGTCTGTTATTCATTAATGATGGGCTGACTCGCTCATCTTAGAACGGGCGGTGTGCACACTGAACGAAGCAGTGCCTGTGAAGTGCCTGGCGCCCTGGCGGTGGCTGCTGCTTTTCTTCTCAAATAACTTTGAGTTTTGTCCCGGTTGGCAGAGAACTTCGTACGAATGGTACATTCCTAAAGGGATCTTGAAGACCGGCTGGATGAACAAGCACCTGAACCTGGTACCAGCACTGGTGGTTGTGTTCTATGAGCTGGACTGGGACGAGCCTCAGTGGAAAGAAAAGCAATCCGAGTGTGCTACCCGCGTCGAGATTGTCAGGTACGGCGAGTATCAGTTGTTTACGGTTTTGTCTGTTTGTGTTGTCAGGGATTGAGCCCACGGCCTTGTGCTAGAGAGGCAAAGCACTCAAACTGATTTTACCAATAAAGACTCAGGAGCCAGGTGCTGGGCTGAAAGCCTGCCAGCTCTGAGAGGCAGAGAACGCACCCAGCTGACCTTCCTGCTCAGCCAGTGTCCCACAAGAAGAAGCTCCTCCTTCGGTTTTTTTTCCTATGATCACTCCCTGTCAATTAGTTGCTTGCTCTACCTCTTGACTTATGGTTGACTTTAACTGTTTACAGTAAACAGAAAGTGCTTGGGTTAAAGGTAGAAACAAGTTTTTTCCAGTATACAGTCTCTGGGTTCACAGAGTGATCAAATGTACTGCAGCAC